CATGATCCTGGATGAAACTGGTTCCCGCTGAAATAGGGCTTTGGCTGCCATTGGTGACAACATATCAGCCATCAACTGCCTCAGTGTTTTTGCAGTCGCCGTCTGGGTGACCAGAGTAGATTACTGACTCCCTCAGCCTTTCATGCCGTGTCTTCTCAATTCTTTGGCTACTTGGGCAGCCTTCCCAACTTCGTACGTTGTACAGACATTTAACGTCACAATTCTTCCTCTTGCTTTCGGCGAGGGAAGACATATCGGCTAAGTGGCTTCCTGAAAGCTTTCAATAGCCCTTATCATTTCGCCTCTCCGACCCCACGGCAGATTGAAATTGTTTTGTATGATTTTTGTATTCTTAATATTTTCATTGTTCATTGAAGTTTCTATAGCACTTTGATTGGCTTTTGGTGCAAGGTCGCTATTCTCACGCCCAACCCTGGCTAGTGGGTGTCCAGGAAACTGGCAAGCTAGTTATCCAGCCTAGGTTTTTTGAATATTATTATTTCCTGGAGGAATATAGGGGACCTTCTTCGCGTTCCCTCCTCCGCCAAACTTCTCACCTGGCTCCACTTCTACCCACACGATTTCATCTCATTTTCACACGACCTCCTCCGTGTCACTCTAGCACTGACCACCAACTCGCCGCCTCTCATTTGAGTTCCGCTCGAGCGGGAGCCTGGCGTGTGACGTCATTCGGTGGTTTGTTTTCTCAGATTATGGCCAATCCATCTCCACTTCTCCCTGCATATTTGTTACACACTTGGTTCCTGGTGGGTTGGTTCGTTCATTGCCAGAGATCCCACGCTGTTGCTGAAGTTTCTGGCTATCTGATCTTGAGTAGTAGTGGGCGAAGACGGCTGTTGATTAAGGCCTGTAGTTTGTTTCAAGTGCCCTTCAGGACACGCTAGCCAAGTCTCTGATCCACATAGTAAGTAGCACTGAATTCACATTGCAGTTGAAAATCTGGACCTTATTTTCATTTTCATGCTAGGTGCTGTTAATCTCCACAGAGCCTTGGGAGTAATGGAAGCTTGCCTCGCTTCTTTGACATCCTCATCAGTTCCGCCCGCTTGTAGTCAGGTAAGCAAAGGAGGTTGCTTCTTTCAGATTTCTCCCATTTAGGCTGATTGTTGTCTGTTGTTGTTGCTGTTGGTCAGAAGTCTTCATCACCTCTGTTTTCTGTATGTTTACCTGAAGGAGGTCGTATCTTTGATGCTTCTTCTATCGCCAACTTGCTGCTTTTCACCTGCATATCTTCCGGTTTGTGGGAAATTAGACATATATCATCGACGAAATCCATATCCTCCAAGAGTTTTGCGTGGGTCCATTTTATGCCTGTTTCCTCACTGCCTGCTGCCTGTCGCATTATCCAGTCTACTGCAATCAGCAAAATCATTGGAGATAGTCGGCAGCTACCTTGTCTTACTCCTCTCTTCACTTCGAGGGATTCCGTGAGTTTCCTGTTTTGGGTTACTTGGCATGCAGCATTAACGTACAACTGTTTGATGATGTGTATAATTGTTGGTGGCACCCTGTAGTAGCCTAGTATTTTCCAAATCACCTCTCGATCGACTCTGTTGAAGGCATTTTCGAATTCAATGAAGTTGAGATAGAGAACTGACTGCCATTCCAAGCTTTGTTCAATGATGATCCGTAGTGTTGCGATTTGATCGATTCATGACTTGCTGCTCCTGAATCCAGACTGTTACTAGTGAAGTTTTCATCCAAGGCCTTTTGATCCTCTCCAGGATGATGCGGCTTAGTATTTTGCTTGGGATGGACAGGAGCAAAGTGCCGCGCCAGTTCTTGCATCGACCTAAGTCGCCTTTGGTAGTTTAAATAAGTGGCCTTTCTTCCAATCCGCGGGTACCTTGCCCTCTTTCCACACCTTCTCTAGTATTGGTATCATCAAGTCCGCTGATGTCTCGGGGTCCATTTTCAACGCCTCTGCTGGGATTCCGTCTGGTCCCCCTGCTTTTCCAGTTTTTAGCATCATGATTGCCTTCAGGTGTCCACTGGTAGCCCTGCTTCCACTCTTGGCATTATTGGGCGCGTTGCAAGTGACGTTCGATTTAGAAGTCTTTTGAAGTGTTCAGCCCATTGTTTCCCTGGCTTCACCTCCTTGGTGATTGGCTTTTCATTGTCATCATTCACTGGCTTGATTTGTGTTGATCGTTTCCCCAATAGAAACCTGGTTGTTTATCATGGTGTTGCGAGGTCTTCTTTGCTTGCAGCTTGTTCTGCTTTACTCGCCATAGCCTCAAAATATTGTCTTTTGTATTCTCTGGCGGTCTTCTTTACTATTTTGCTCAGAGTATTGTAGCTTGTATTCAACTCCTGTTTTTGTTGCTCGTCGATGCACTGGGTAATCTTTTGTTTCAGCATCCTTCTTTCTTCTGTTAGTCTCCGTGTGTTCGTAGTGAGCCACTGTTTTCCCTTTCTCCTCTTTCTGCCTAGAACTTGCATCCAAGTTTGACTCCACAACGATTTCGCGTTGTTCCAGTGCTTTAAAACGCTGGTCTCTTCGCTAGTGTTAAATTGTGTCTCCACCTTTTTCCTTATGTTTGCAGTGAAAATGTCCTTTGTGGCCTGATCCTTCAGTTTTTGAGTATTATACTTGGCTTGTGGTCTATCTGCAGCTCCTGTTTCCTTTAAGGTTTTTAAGTTGATTTTGAGTGTTCCTTGCATGAAATAGTGGGCTGAGCCGACACCTGCTCCTCTTCTTAATTTTGCGTCCAGTAAGCTGCGTCTCCACTCCCTTGAGCACTAATTAGATGAAGCTAAATTGATGTTTGGTTCGCCCGTCTGGTGACACCCATGTAGCCCTGTGGATATCCTTGTGCCTGTATACGCTGCCACCAATCACCAGTTCACTGAAGGCATAGAAGTCAACGAAGAGTTCTCCGTTTTCATTCATCTCTTTGAGTGCCACTTATGTTTAGTTTCTATGTGGGACCGTCAAATGAGTAAACAAAGTTTCTATTTATCTACATTATTATTGAACATTCTGCCGCAATCGTTGGATATCTTTCATCAATCTCCTAACCGACTAGACTTTAACTCAATTACCAACATGTACAGGAGAGCACCAATATTTCTGAAGCCTCCCACAAAATTACTATGAAACGCTACCATCCTAAAGAACAGTCATTGTTTTCTCTTAAACTGAATGATATGAGGGTGTTTATTACCAAGATTTTCTTAGACACGGATCTCATTTTGCCTTTGGATTATTTCACAACAGCGTAGCATACGTTTTAGCTAAATGCGGTTCCATCTTGTCCAAAACCTCCAGTACGTCTACGTATTGGACAGCGGGTTGTAGTGAATTACTGCTGCGTCCAGGACTCTTGAGTTTTGAGACAGATTCTTACAAGGATTAAAAGGAAATATCTTTGTGACAGACTGAGTAGTTTTTATGGACAATGCCTGCAGATACTACGTCATCATTCGAAATGGGATTATTGTCGGCTGAATCTGACGAAGCAATGATTGCATTCGCACAAAACAAGGATACAGAATTTAATAATACACCCGTGTGTTTACTCTTCCGGTTAGATTTGTGTCTCTGATTTCGGGGATAAATACCAAAAAATATCTACAATATTGTGTATTTTTACTCCTTTGTAGGCCTAAACTAATAAGTTCTTCAGTCATTTTCCTGAAAATATTGGAAAAAGAGGTCGTGCCAGTGACATCTTTTCCATGGAAGTTACCACTATCTCATGTAGTACGTCAATGACTCATTTAATCATGACGATATATTAATATCATCTACGTTTTATTTGGCAAATTAACCATCGTTTCTGTTTTACGCCATCCGTGTAAGGGTATATAAAGAGATAGAAATATCAAGAATCCAGGAAGACTCTGGGAAGGTCTAGTTAGGTTGGATGAATGTGCCACTGGCTCCAGACATTCAACCTGTAAAAAGGGTTCATGATCGAACGAAACATGAAGCTTTCTTTCCTTGTTGTAGCATTAGACACATGCAAAATTACGGAAGAATAGGATAAATGCTGTTTGCTTTTGGGATGCAGTTAAAGACACTAGATGATATATGGTAACCAACAATTCAAGTAACATACACAAATACACAATTGAAATGGCTTCAGTCATTTATTCCAAACATACCGAAAATGGAACACTAACTGGATGGAAGTCGTATGCCTTTTCTTTCGAAGAAATCCCTCAGCTAATGTACTGTTCTTCAAAGCTCAGATAATCATGAGGAAACCATTTGACCATGCACTACCACACTAATCTCGCCAATTCACCCTAAAACTGTTAAATACGACGAAGGAAACTGATAACAAAGATTACGTTCCTTCGTCTAAAATATGCTTATAATTTTGGAACTTGAGGACCAAATTAGGGCAGAACTATTGGGGACATGAAAAGTTTCGCTATCACTTCCAATAGAACTATGTTCTTTATATGGTTCAGAGAATTGGCCCACCAACAAAAATATTTCCAGGTTACCGCGTAATTATCACAACTGCCTTCTCTCGATACTGAAAGTCAGATAACCAGCTAGACTGAATGGACATAAAAACTCTGAAAAAAAAACAAACCGAGAGCTTACAGTCCAAAAATATGCGGAATGAACAGGAGATGGATTAGACATATGATGAGGAGGCCATTGAGTCACATCAAGCGGCAAACTTCGGTGTGGAAAGGGATTGGGAGCTGTGAATTCGATGTCCGGAAGAAGCACGGATGAGATGATGAGAGCGGGAAACAAAGGCTCATGACCGATCGTGGAGCTATCTACAAAAATATCAGGGAAGACAGTAAAGCCCTTGTTCCATTCGGAACTCAAAGGAGGTCTTGTGTAGTTTATTACATATTATGGCCGATTTGGTTTGGCAAACATATACTATTTGTGTACATATCCGTGATATAAAAGCGCTTGGGCTATATAGAATTTCGTTGAAGTGATTTCCTTGGGATTTAATGAATTCTTTGGCGAAACACTAATTTTGTTATAATGTGCTAGCCATATTTGTACTCTCGTTCCAAGTTTGGTGCGGTGTTTTGTATGGTTTGATTTTAAGAATGAATCCGGCTGATTTACTCTCTGCTGCAAAGTCTGGAACAACCAGCAGCATATTAGAATTCTTAAGGAAACCAGTTGTTATACTAAGACTTGTTGCTGTAGTGAGTCAGTCTTTTGATTAAAATGTTTATAATGCGTCCTTTTTCCGGTGAGATTAATCCGTATACCTGCAGATTGTCGTTTCGGTGTAATACCATCTTCATTAGGCTTAAAAGCATGTTTTTAAAACCACTGACCGTAACTGCACAATAAAGATTACTTCCAGCCATCGACTAGTTTTAATTTTTTAATTTCAACGTCTAGTATTATCCGTGTATAATCATATATGCAGGTTATTTGCTAGCTTTAAAGATCCGTTCGCGTAAGGCGAAAAAACCTTAAATGGGAAATTGAAGAATTCGTACGTGAAGCTTTGAGCGTCAATAAACCATACGTACAGATGCAGATAACAAGGATTGAAGGCTCGTGTTGCTTATGTTAATCCTTGCAATATATATCTGTGCAGGGATCTGATTTGCTGTTACTACTGATCTAGGTAAAGAGGCCACTCTGCGGGATGGGGTTGCTAGTCTCATGTTCAACCTTGCCTCTTTACCAGTCCCATTACCGGCTTAGCGAGGTAAAGGAGTGCGTCGGTGGCCGAGGATTGAACCCCGAACCACGTGAGCCATGGTTGGCGAGCGTTCTACCGTTGTGCCACCGATATGTGCTTCGTCGTTTGGTGACTAAAAAGTTTGCGAAGTTGTGTGTGTGCCTACAGAAAGCATTTCTGTAATCAGTAGAAATCTGTAAAACAATCGATAGCTTTCTCAATTATTAACTGACTTGTTGTCACAATATAGTCTAGCTATTTGTATAACTTCACTAGCAAACTGTCGTCGCGGTATGCAATTACGAAACTGGTGGATTTAACGAGCACATAATCGTAAAATAACTAGTAGGCATCTCACCAAATTCACCACTAATGTATTGACAAGATCTAGTTAGAGGTAAAATCTAAAGCAATTTTTGCATGAGTTACTGGCAAGTTACTTCATCCAGTCTGCTTTGCCTTCACTAAATAGTTTAGGCAAAGTAGGCCACTTTCCTCTACATCACAATGTAGACTAAGCAAACCAAACGTATACTTATTCCAGTGTTAAATACTGAATATGTTAAAACAATAAATGCTGGGTATTCCACTTCTTAACTTAAAGTCTATGTTAAAAAACATGATACTGCCTTAAAGGTGCTGACTGAAAATTTGCGCTAAGAAGATATTTTGTCTGGTGCATGTATTCACAATGTTATTTTACTTGTTTTTGCTACATACTTCAGTATATGGTGAAGAACCGATCGTTCAACAAATATGTAGGAGAAAATGTAAATGGATCGGGCATGTGTTGAGGAGGCTGTCGAACGACATCACGTGTAATCCAGGCCGTCACTCGAGTGGACTCCGAAAGGGGAGCGACGAATGAGTCGTCACTATTAGGGTGACCTGGAGGAGATCGTTTGGTGATGAGGAGGAGATGAGAGATTATAGGAAATCTTGGGGTCAGCCAGCTGAAGAGGTCAGCAGAAAATAGAATAGAGTGGAGATGTGTTGTTGAAGCTCTATGTTCCACTCGGAATCCAAGGGAATAATAATAATAAATACAAAACAGTTGTAATTTTGACTCATCCTCCTATCCTAACAATTTGATATTTGTCTCACTCTTACCGAGTGTAAGTAATGCCTTTAGTCAGATGAGAATGTGACATCAATCCATGAAGTCTTCGGCTGTTTATCTAAACCGCATAAAGGCATTTAGTATGTCTGACTAAGGTGTCTTCAAGACGCTTGGAAACAATGACTGGGGATGAGTTGACTCAAAATCCTTCCCAATAGAGCATATTTACTCACTCTTTATGTTCTTCTAAATCCTCACTATTCTTCATACGATTATTATCACTTCAGCATATTTCGATTCTCTGTACTTTCATGAAGTGTGGCTGCTGCATTTTTGTGCAAAGTCCTACTTTGAAAATGTCGTTTCAGTTCATCGTCTATAAATACTTCTATAAAAAAGAAGACTTCTTTTGTTTATCTATTTGAAAGACATATTTCTAACAGTTTGTGGTCAATAACATACTCATTACTTCTATATGATTGCCTTGTTAGAAGTGAGAGTGATTATAATGGATGAGATTGTAGTGAACAGTAATCGACTTGAACAATAAATTTGTACATATTGTCGAATGTTATGCGACAGACATAATGACGGTATTAGATAGTTGGAGGCAATCGGCGGACACGAAGCCTTGGACATAGGTTTCGTGTTAGTTGGCGCTCGTCAGCAAGGCGTATATGCCACCTTGAAGGAACTCATATCCCTTCTGAGATTCGAACCCGCGTCACCCAGCGCTGCAGTCAGGGACGTTACCGCTGAGCTATTTGGGCTTGCGATAGACCTTCTGTAGGACTGTAGTGGGTATTTTGATTGGACACTAGTAACTAGCGCGACGTGTCTAGTCCTTTCTTTGGTGCAGACTGAATTCTATCAGTCAGGTTCGCAACGTGGCCACCATTCTAAGTAGCTCACCAACACATTGGTCACATTGCAAACCTGACTGATAGGATTCAGTCTGCATCAAAGAAAGGACTAGACACGTCGCACTAGGTACTAGTGTCCAATCATTTTGGCGGTATATCATTATGATTCTGTTCTCATTAAAGCCGCGTCTGATTTTAACATATTCTCCCTTCAAACAAAAGAATGTTTTTCAAGAATAAGTTTGTAGGGATTGTACTCGTTTCAGGTTAGACCATGGACTGATATCAGTTAGAGAACCATTGAAAACAACCAGGGAGTACCGGACAGCTGTTTTGCCCTAGTTTGAGACTCATCAGCGGTACGCATCCGTTAAGGTTCGAACTCAAGGTCTTCTAGTTACACTGAAGCTCGTAGCCACTGCGACCCGATTCAATGACCAGTACGCGAATTCTAACTTGTTACGATTCGTGATTTTAGCGCGATAAGCACCAACCAATGTCATCGGCGGGAACTCCATCCTCACTCCCTACTGGATGCAACCCACTGGTCACAACTTCTCACTAGAACTAACTCCAGTTAACTTCGTCCTTTAGCCAGAGTCACTAATGTGTATCAGATTAATTTTCAATAATCAGTTTACAGGGATTGTATTTGCCTCAGGTTAAGTTTTCAATGGTTCTCTAACTGATATCAATCTCTGGTCTAACCTGAGAGGAATGTTTGTCATATAATAACTAGTCGTTAGAACAGTGGACTTTTTCAGTAGTTATAATTCTTGCTCATTATCCCCTGCCCATAATTATAACAGTAATTACAGGGTTTAGTAAGAACAGTCAGCGAAAAAATTAGGCTTAAATTAAAGGTTTGAAGTGTACTCACACAGAACTACTCAGTGTATCCACAAATCACCTTTGCTTACCACCGTATGCATACCTATTCTTATTATAAAACACTTCGTAATATAATACTTTATAACTATTAAGGAAAGAAATAACAATGAAATCCAGATCTTCTGTTGAATAGTCAATAAAGACTTTTCTCTAGATGACGTTACATATTACACATATTTTATTGCAAACTAACAAGCATACCTTCCTACTGATTGTCTGCTGACGTTTTCATTAAACTGCATTTTTCAACTGCTTGGCCTAATGTCGAAATAAGAAAACTAATGGTTTATTACTATTATTATTACTCCCCTGGGTTCCGTATAGAAAGAATATAGGGCGCCAGAATCACATTCCCATTTCATCCCGTTCTTTGCAGTCTTTTCAGGTGGCTCCAAGATTTCACATAAGCTTTCATTTCGCACTCATACGATCTCCTCCATGTCACTGCTGAACGGAAGCACAATTCGTCAGAGTTATGTCAAATCCATCTCCATTTCCTTCTCATACCTATTTGGAAATAGGTCCTTAGTTGGTTCCTTCTTGCTTTTCGTTTCTGGTTGGCTATCTGATCTTCACTATGGAGCGAAGACAGTCGTTGATGGAAGTCTGCGGTAGTAGTCCGTTGGAAATGCTTTTTGTGACTCACTAAGTCTGTGAAGCGTATAGAAGAGCTGACTGACGTGACCTTAATTCTGAATATCCAGATCTCGTTGCTTATGCTGCATAGTGCAGCAAATTTTTCACACCGGTTTCACAGTAATGAGAGACTGTCTTGCTTTTACCAACCCGGTTTTGATATCTTCATTGGTACCACCTGTAGTCGAAACAAAACTAATGGATTGCTCTTAGGTATTTGCCAGCTTTTTCGGTTACCATCAGATTGGCATTTTGTATAAATACTTTAGTTACAGAATTTCATCATGAGCTGACATCAGTTAGAGAACCATTGTAAAACCTGGGAGTACTGAAAAGCTGTTTTGCCCAAGTTTGAGACTCTTCATCAGTAAGCACCCACCGGAGTTCGGACCCAGGACCTTCTGGTTACAAGGCGAGCTAGCTCGTATACCATTAAGCCACTGGGACTCGATCCAATGGCTAGTTCATGAATTCTAACTTCTGCCAATTCACGATATAACGCGACCCCTAGCCAATGTCTTCGGCGAGTATTTGTCCTCACACCCGACCTGCTGCACCCTACTGGTCACGACTTCCCACAAGAACCCCAGGTAACTACCTACCTGAATAGGGCCAGTCTCCAGTGAGCATCTCATTGATGAAATCCTGTAACCAATCAACCAAATCCCTCCACACCAATACTTGAATATAAATACATTAGTTTTATGGATATCTTTTCCTAATTAATTTACCATACCTCTAGGATCAAAGACTAGCCACTAATGTCTTTAGTTACTTCTTACAAAGAGTAAAACTGAAGTCCTTAAAAGGCTAACAAAGGTTATTATAAAACTATGAAGAAATTCATGTTTATGAGCTGTCCGCCTTTCTCACAAATATTTCTTATGGGTATCAATACTGCTTTTGTCTCGTAATTTAGGTGAAGCAGTATTTTTCTGGCTTTTGCTTGGTATTTATAAAGTAAAACACATAATGTGAAATGAAATGTTATTCAGCAAGTACATTCATCATTTCCATACAGTTGTCAATGAGCTACAGTCGATGTTAAAAAAATCAAAGAATTCCTAAATACTCACGCCTATAAGCTTCAGCTGTTGTTTATGATCTAACGATACTACCTGGATAAGTTTAGCAGAATTCGAACCTGTGACGTATTGGTTGGAAGAGTTGGTCACCTTGACCTTTGAGCTTTACACTACTCTCAGACATATACTTAAATTTGAGGAACTATTAATCGCACACTTTTATTTTTGTTTCTTCTTTTAATCATGACATAACGCGCTATATCGTGAATTCGCAGAAGTTGGAATTCATTGGCTGGCCACTGGATCGGGTCCCAGTGGCTTTATGGCGTACAAACTAGCTCGCCTTGTAACCAGAAGGTCCTGGATTTGAGCCCTCTGTAATGGGTGCGTACTGATGAAGAGTCCCAAAATAGGACGAAATATCTATCCAGTACTTACAGGTTTCCCAATGGTTCTCTAACCTATATCAGCTCATGAAAAAATCCTGTAACCAATCAATCAAATCCCTACAGACTAATAATTGAATAATCTTATTAGTTGGTTGCTGCGCCTATTGTTCAGCTTATCAAAGGCTTTCAAGCTTATACATGCGTATATATTGATTTTTGCATTATATTCGGATCATTCTTTCATCAAGAAGATACACATATTACTCAAAGGCGTTTTTGTTCTCATTTGTACTTTTTTTTTCAGCTAAGCTCAATAATAGTTTTCGGGTCAATTTCGTCTGGATGTCATACTCATCAAGATGTTTGTATTTTTGGGGCTACATCAAGTGCTTGTAGTTTCCCTGTTGCTGTTGGTGTTTTCGCTTTCCTTGGATCAATTGTTTTTCTTGCAAGTGATTTCATGTTCAATTCAATTTCAAATCTTAAAAGACGAAAAATTGTGATAATTGGTGATCTGGCCTTCTCAGGTAAGTCATAACTGCTTGAAAGAGATGGTTGTTTTTCTTTTGTTGTTGTTGTTGTAATTTCTGATGCTTAATTACTTTTATTTGAAGTAATAAAGTCATTTGCATAGATTCTGTGGAACTTGTTATTATTCGTTCGTGAACTGGCAGAAGTTAGAATTCATGGGCTGGCCATTAGATCGGGTCTCAGTGGCTCAATGGTCTACGAGCTCGCCTTGTAACCAGAAGGTCCTGGGTCCGAATCCCGTTTGGTGTGTACTGATGAAGAGTCCCAAACTAGGACGAAACAGCTGACCAGTACTCCCAGGTTTTCCAGTGGTTCTCTAACTGATGTCAGCTCATGATGAAATCCTCCATGCAATAAAAACAAATAGTCACTAATGTTTTATGTGATGTTGTGGGACTGGTTCATTCACTGAGCTACCTAGTTGACAGGGCTACTTATAAAAAAGGCAAACCTAGATTCTTTTGAAAATCTTTTCATTGATTCTAATTGTGTTTATGTCTACTTCTAACTGATTTTGTTGAACTCATTCAGGAGCAGTGGTCAGCGGCTCCGTAAAGTAACTTCTTGTAGTTCTTTTGGGGGGTACAAGGTTTATTGTTGTTGCTTTACGAAAAAAAAATTGGTCAAGTCAAACTTTAAGCGCTCTAATAAATGCCAATCGAGTGCAAAAAAAACTTACAGGATCTGAATTTCACCGATGATATATGTGTGTCTGATTTCTCACAAACTGGAAGATATGCAAGTGAAAAGCAACAAGTTGGCGATAGAAGAAGCATGAAAGATAGGAATTATGGTGAACATACAGAGAAAACAGAGGTGATGAAGATTTCTGACTAACTGCAGCAGCAACAACAACAGAAAACAATCAGCATAAATGGGAGAAATCTGAAAGAAGCAGCCTCCTTTACCTTCCCACTTATCTACCTGGGAAGCATCGTTTCGACTACAGGCGGATGGAACTAATGGGGATATCAAAGCAGCGAGGATCGGTTAAGCAAGACAAGCTCTCATTACTTTCAAGTTTGTGTGGAGATCAACAGCACTTCTCAGCATCAAAAATAAGGTCCGAATTTTGAATTCCAATTTGAATTCAGTGCTACTTATTATGTGGATCAGAGACTTGGTGCCGAGTCACGAAGAGCACTTCAAACAAACTACAGACCTTCATCAACAACTGTCTTCGCCCACTACTACTCAAGATCAGATGGCCAGAAAAGATCAGCAACAGGGATCTCTGCGAGCCAACCAACCCAGCAGTAACCAATTGTGCAACAAATATGCAGGAAGAAATGGAGATGGATTGGCCATTCTCTGAGAAAACAAACCACCAAGTGACATCACACGCCAGGTCATCGCTCGAATGGAACCCGAATGGGGAGCAGCGAGTTGGTCGTCAGTGCTAGAGTGACATGGAGGAGGTCATGTGAAGAGGAGATGAAAGCATGTGGTCAGACGTGGAGCCAGGTGAAAACGTTGACGGAGAACCGAATGCAATGGAGATGTGCGGCTAAAGCCCTATGTTCCTCTAGGAACTAAAGAAAATAGTAATAATATTTTATTTTATTCCTTTAAACTCCTGGTGGAACATAGAGCTTCAAGCTGGAGCTTTGAAGTCTCGGCTGCAGTGGTTTTATTTTTACGGAGTGGGGTTACTAGTCTCCCTCTTTATCGACCTTACTACCGGTTTAGAGAGGTTTAGGAGTGCGCTAGCCGGGGTTCGAACCCCGAGCCACATTTGTTGTTGACCAGTAGAATTAGATGGTACCATCGTTTATTCCATCATCTGCCTGCAGTCTAAAGAAATTATTAACTTTATTTACAGAACAATCTTAAAATGTTTGCAGATGTAACATCATGTCAGTTGACAGGAGACTGTAAACTTAATACAGACAGCGCTCAGAAATCACACTTGTATGGCTTACACAAAGAAAGTTCAGGTTTAAACAAAAAAGTAAATGTTTGTATACAATGGCAAAGGAGTTGCGCAATAAAGACAATAGGTGGATGACTTTATGATAAGAAACTAATCAGCTGGGTAAGAATGAATTCAACTCAAGTCATACTAACAAGATACAAGCGAATTTACACTATATTAAAAGGAGGAGAGGTTAAAACCAAAGATTACTTAATTAGATAATAGAGAGAGTAAAGACATCCAATTACCAAGGCAAGGAAAGACTGATAACTGCTTCTTTCTGAACACAGAAATCCGGTTTCAAGCACTTGATGGCAACAGCTATGGAAAACGTCATGAGAATTGAATTATTTTGCCTATTAATAAGTTTACCTACCTGAGAAGCATCGTTTCAACTACAGGTGCACGGAGCTGACGAGGATATCAAGGCAAGAATCGGGAAAGCACGACAAGCTTTCACTACTCTCAAGTCTGTGTGGAGGTCAACAGCACTTCTCAGCATCAAAAATAAGAGCCGGATTTTCAACTCCAATGTGAAGTCAGTGCTAAGATACGGATCAGAGACTTAGCGCGTCATAATGAACATCTCAAACAAACTACAGACCTTCATTAACTGTTGTCTACGCTCAATACTCAAAATCAGATGGCCGGCCACAAAAGATCAGCAACAGAGATTTCTGGGAGTGAACCAACCAGGAACCGATTGTGAAACAAATAAGCAGGAAGAAATGGAGATGGATTGACCATACTCTGAGAAAACAAACCATCAAGTGACATCACTAGACAAGCCATTGCTCTAGTGGAACCCGAAAGGGAAGCGGCGAGTTGGTCGTCACTGCAAGGGTGACTTGGAGGAGGTCATGTGAAGAGAAGACGATAGCATGCGGGCAGACTGGGAGCCAGGTGAAAACTCTAGCAGAGAACCGAACACAATGTTCCTATGTTCCTCTAGGAATTAAAGGAAACAATAATAATATAATAATTAATAAGTTTAAAAGGATTCATGATGTCCACCCCATGACTCGTATTGACTAGATGCCTGGCAGTTGCACTATTGAAGGCGTATTTCCTCCCCCCCGCGTCCTTGAGACAGACGTTTTTTGGTGCGTATTCAGAAAATCGGAAGTGTGTCTTTCATACGGTTCTCCCGATGTAACTGCAGCCGTAGATTCACGTAAATGTGTATACACTGCTAGAGTGAACATGAGAAGGGTATCTGTCGACTTTTGATTGCATCAATGACCATGTTGTCCGATAAACGAGAACCAACTTAACTGGAGGATAGGTTCTGGCTAGTGTGGTTTTCAACATTCTGTCAACTATTCCTGCAATATTATTACTTTTAAAATCTGGTTGAATGAAGATAGGCTTCATTTTTATTTTATTTTTTTGATTACAGCTTGATTCCACACCGTATGTTTCTGGTACAGGTATGGAATTTTCAGCATGTGATATCGGTAGTTCAAATTTTCAGGCCGACCATAGATATCAGGTGTGCATCGGCAGGGGATCGAATCCCGGACCATGTGCATGGTCGGCGAGAGTCCTAACCACTGTGCCACTTTGATTTATTTGTCAGTTGGACATTCACATCTTCTATACTTGTCGATAAATTTCTCAGGTTAACTGCTGTTTTTCAACACCTTTTTCGAGAATTCGAAATTCTCCCTCGAATTTCTCTACAGAACTGCTGCACGCAGCTGATGAAAAATCAACGAAATAAACGTCGGTACCATCTTATTCTGCACAAGCCGTTGTTTTTGCTTTATTCGAAATGATGCTTGTTGTTAGTCTTCAAATTTGGGCTAGGCTCGAATTCATTAACAGTTTTTGTGATTGCTAGGGCATTTCATCCTGTCTAGGGCCGGGTCAGCAGTTACATTGTTCCAGATGAGAGTAAAACTAAACGCTAAACATTTCAAACACTGAGGCATTAAGCTCTTGTAGCTATTCAGCTGCAAGGGCTACCTCTTTTGCAATGGACATCCCTTATAGTTATTTGCTTATACTATAGTTTTATCAAACTTGATCGATTGGTTTCATTTATCTATATAGGCTAGTTAAACGTTCAACTGTGTGTGTTATTGCATTGGATTTCACCTTTATACTTTTTAAAAACATTTAGGTTTATGGACATTCCTATGGTTTGTTAGTTTTTGTCTACTTGCAAATAAATGGACAAATACATCTGATGAATGGTTGAGTCAACATAAAGTTGAAGGATGGCAAGAGAGTAATGCTCGTTCAGCTATCGGTTTTGCTTTTCTGTCAATTGCAATTTGGGTAAGCTGTATTTTTATTTTTCATATTTTTTATCGACAAATCTAGTATTTTAAAGTTTGTCAAAAAATAGGTTTCTTATTTTCGGCTCGATTGGTAGTTGCTAGCAGTTTAATCCAAGAGGTGTGTTTCGTCCCACTTTTGTGACTTGTCAGCAGGATGTTTTACCGGCATCGCCTTTGAGGTATGGTGTTCTCACTGGGGAATTGAACCCATGACGTATTGTTGCAAACGCCACTATACATCATAATAAATCTTTTACTCTAGCGTCCGAAACTGACTCATTATGATCTGAACACAAGAAACTGATCTCTGCATTCTACTGTATAGCTGGTAAGCTTCCTTGAGACAGGTGCGATCATGAAAAGCTCCAAAGATAGGAAAAAAGGCGATTATTCTAGAATAATTTCGCGGTTTTATTACACAATGATAATATCAAAAACTCAAGATTACCTCTACAGTGGCGTTAGGCAGTTAATACAGTCCAGTCTAATTACGCAACGAGCACTTGGAATCAAGTAGAATATTCCCACACAACTTGGGAGCAAGAACTCTGTCCGTAAGAATCACACAACAATACTTCCGGCGAACTGTCCAAGGTCAGAATAACCTTTACTCACTCAAAGAAAATCACGTCCTCGGGACGGTAAAAACCAATGGTTGGAAACAATTGGTGATATGGATCAAAATCGTTCTCAATGGCGCAGATGCATCCACTCCTTGTGACTTATGATTTCCAATGAAACTGTTTTGTTCTTCGTTATGACTATTCCTTTGTCTCACACCTGTGTTTACTGTCTCTATTATGCATTTCTTTTGCTTTCTTCTCTTGCTTTGTGTGCTACAAGGAGGGAGTGTGGCGACTTGAACTGCCGCACATATGTGCAAAGTTCTATGTCGAAGACAGAACAAAGAAAATCACACTTTTAAAACAGCACAATATCAACACCATCATACAACCTCAAAGAGACATGTTAAAATTACACATTAAACTTGTGCGTCGGTGGCACAGCGGTTAAGACGCTCACTGACCATGCACATGGTCCGAAGTTTGATAACCGGCCATGGACACACTCCTCCTTTACCTCGCCAAGCCAGAAATAAAGCTGGTAAAGACGAAAGGTTGGGCATGAGGCTAGCAACCCCATCCTGTAAAAATAAACACCACTGCTACCGAAACTTCAAGCCTCCAGGTTGAAACCCTATGTTCCACTGGAAACGTGAAGGAATTAAAAAATAATAATAATCGGTGGAATCACCATGAAAGAGATGAATAGTTCAGACGTGAAATCATAGATGATGAGACAGATTAGTTAACCAACAGAGTTCTACATCTTACACATTTGGTGTGCCCATAAGATGTATAACTTATTTTGATTAAACACACTAGTCAGTAACTAGTATCATGTGTCTAGTCCTTTGTTTGATACAGAATGAATTCTATCAATCAAGTTTAATACTAGTTACCAACCTAGTATCCAATCAAACCTAGGTTCAAGGATTCCTGCCAAATGCCATCAACCATCTAACAACAACAATTCAAAGTGCACTGTGATGTCAAGCCACTAACAATCGTGGCTACATTGCAAAAACTTCACTGATAAAATACAGTCTGCATCGAATAAAGGACTAGAGACACACGTGATATCAGGTGCTGCTAACTACTGTCGAATCAAAGTATCCAAATACAGTTGTACAGCAGGTATATCGCGATCCAGAATGGTTCAGCGATAACGTCCCTGACTGTGCAGCACTCACTGGGTGACACGAGTTTAAAATCTCATCAAAGACATGAATGAGTTCCTCTAAGTCTTTCAGATACGCTACGCCTTGCTGACTGACTGGTGCGTGCCAACGTGCGTGCACGAAACCTAGGCCAGCATAAATCATTTGCTAAAAGTACATTTTTCAAGTATTGGTTTTGTAGGGATTTTGTTTGATTGCATGGAGGATTTCATCATGAGCTGACATCAGTTAGAGAACCACTGGAAAACCTGGGAGTACTGGTCAGCTGTTTCGTCCTAGTTTGGGACTCTTCATCAGTACACACCCACCGGCCTTGTAACCAGAAGGCTCTGGGTTCGAATCTCGGTGGGTGCGTGCTGATGAAGAGTCCCAAACTAGGTCGGAACAGCTGTCTAGTACTCCCAGGTTTTCCAGTGGTTCTCTAATTGATGTCAGCTCATGATGAAATCCTCCATGCAAGTACATTTTCATAATGTCTTTCTGTCTCGCATAGTGTTGATTGTTTAGGAGAAGAAGGGATGTTGATTTTTACGCCAAAGTATTCTGTGTATACCAACACATGTTTTTATCCTCCAACTCTTATAGTATTTGTTCTGAGTAGACCAAAGACAAATTAAAACACCAAATTGATCCTTCAAAATACGCGATATATTTCGGGATCAAAATCGTAGTAGAAGGGTCGTGTACCAATGGCCGAACGTAACACGACAGCGCGCCAGTAGTAGTGTTGATGCTTCACCACGAACCTACAGTTCAATGAGTCGACTTAAACGGTGAAGGTCACCATCCAAGGTTGAGTGAAGAATGCCTTTAGGCTAATGATTTTGGGGGAATTATTGACCGCTACAGATCGATTAACTACCTTTGTGATACAATTCATTTCAGTGGTTATATATATGTATATATATATTTTTTTTCTATTATGTATCAAGGGTGGGATTACATTCTTTGCATTGCAACGATTTCGACTCGGGCAAGTTAATCTGAACGCTGAAGATGAATTAGGCGGACCTGGTTCAACTATGGATCCGAATGCTGGTGTTCCAGGTCAAACATATCCTGGTATGAATGATCCAATGAGTCAGCAGCACCAGCAACAACAGCAACCGTATGGTGGAAATATTCAACAACCACCTATGGGTGCCGGAGCTGGTCAATATTACGGACCGACGTATTAGGACAAAGAAATCTGCAATACTGTGTAGACACAAAACAAAATATGTGATGAAAAGAAATAAAAGTGTGGTACTATGCATCTATCTATCTATCTATCCTCTGATGTCATCTTATTGTAGTTTGAAAACCGGAATGCCGCATTTTCATTGTATCCCTTCTGTTTTTGTTGTTGTTGTTGTTGTCAACGTCGTCGTTTTCGGTGTCGTCCCACATCATTCCATTTATTATTATTGTTATTATTATGGTTATTTTATTAATACTATTACCTTGATCACTATTATTATTATTTTATATTATTAGTTTCTATCCTTCTAACTTTTTGTCTTATCATGATATTTTAATTATGAGATCTGCGCATATACATATAGCGATACATATACATACATCAGTTTCTAGGATCGAGACGACTAGGTTATGAGCTTATATTGTGTATGATCCTATGATCCAAATTAGTTGTTAATCTTTCTTTGTTTTTGTTTTTGTGAAAGCTGTGATTTTAAGCATATAATAATTTTCTTCTCTGAAACATTCCTTCCATTCCCATTTGACACACATACACACACACTGTGACGCAATATTATTTGTGCATTTATAGCTGAAATACTCTTCATGAATATCTGTCTATCTCTTGTAATCCTGTTGTTCCCTTTGGTCAACACGCTTCTAGTCGTATTTGAATTGAACTTAGCATAATACATGAATATATACATATATATATCTTATATTTATACATATATATTTATATATCAAATATATAAATAAAATCTCTTCTTCTGAATGGTAAATCTTTTCTTTAATATTGGTTGTATTGAAAGTCAGTTAGTTAGTGTACATGCTGTGTTACGTGACTAGGAGAGTGGAAAGATCGTCATAAGCCAGCACATCACTTAGAGCATTGAACAACCGTTTCGTTCTATTCTGGATCTCTTCAACATTACGATCCCCCCCCGCGCCAGGGATCAAACCCTGGATATCTTCAGTTGATATGAGTTCAAGCCTACTGACCATTCAGCAGCCAATTAGGTTGCAGTTCAGTGTTCCGTAAATTCTAGTGTGTTTTTTTCAACCCCGTGATATAACACCGCCCTCACCAATGTGTTCAGTGGACTCTACTAGTCACACTGAAGCTTCAAGATATCATTGAACTGGCGATTGATATTCACATCTGAATATGAAAACCCCTTTAAAAAATTCGTATATTTAAATAGGAATTGTTTTGGCAGTAATCACTTCACGGGATTACAGTTAATTTTTTCGTTTAAAATATTCCCGCCTCCCTCAATATCAAGTAGACGCCGTATACGACTTAGAGTTTATAATTCCCCGAACACAGAACAAGAGTTCTGTCCGGCTAATAAGTACGTTTCATGTTACAAAAACACTAGATATATCAAGGTAGGTTTCGAAGCAATGAAGAGAGATTTCGCCATGGTCCAGGACTCTTCACCAGTACGCACACGTGACACCATTACAGATCGATTTGAGGATGCACAGTTTACGGAGGGGGGGGAGATGATTACTATTCAGCCATTGGCTGAGAATCCAGTGCTCCATGAATTCTGAATTTTGTTAATTGGTAATATAATGACAATTATCTTTCCACACGTTCGACTTGGTAGATCCCACCGGTTACAATGTCTCACTAGAACTCTAGGAAGCATTAAAGACTGACAGGTTTACACATCAAGCTGTATAATAAACGAAAATAGTTTCTTTAAATAGTGAAAGCAGTGATTAGGAAACTTGATTTGAAAGGGTAAGGAAATAATATCTAATAACTGACACCGAGCACTTCGGTCCAATCAATCGACGGGAAAATCTAAAATTCATTTAAATGATTAAAATGATCCGTTGCACAAGAGGTGGTTCTCGTGGCCCAAGTGGTCTAGTAGATGACCCTTGGTGTTTGAAACTATGGGCACTGGGTTCGAGCCTCAGTGGTGGGAACATCATCACTGACTGACTGGGGAATGCAGGTACATCCAGCTGACTAGCGAGTCCCAAAAAGGACGAAATACACATATTCTGGATTCTACTGTTAGTCACCACCCACCAATTAACTTCTAATAAAGCATGCTAGTATATCATTTTCATTGTGTCAGGTAGTGAGTTTTAAAAAATGCTCCGTGAAGTATGTTTTAACATATACATATCATGCTGTGGCGTGTGTTACTGATACGATTTATCAGTAGTACATAGCGACGTTCATCGGTATGAAAACAAATGCAACAGGGAGATAGATTTGACGTTAGAAAAAGCAAATGATTCATCGTAATGGAGATGCATGGGAAATGTGAAAGGAACATAAAGAAACACAATATGAAAAAAAAGCAAGAAGTAGCACAACACGGAAGATCTGCGTTGAAGACAAGCTGTACATAATTTAGCTATACAGAGATAACAAACTGCAAATTAACATTCCTTTACCGAGTCTTAGTCTTCTATCGTTACAATGTTACGTCTTATTCTTATTCAGTTTTCATGAATTGAAGACTTGTTTTGTCGACTGTCTACTTAAAGTATAGCGTGTATAAACGGTGCCACACCCCTTAATTTATCAAGAAGAAAATTAGTTGGAGCTCTAATTAGGAACCTCATAAAAAACATTGCCGCGCATTTATGAAAAGTTTTAAAAACGAAATTCAAAACATTGAGAATAAAACTAAAACTCTATAAAATGATGATGACGAACTGTCATGCAAACTTTGTTTTCACAAATGGATATCATTTAGAGAAGCATTAAAATCCAGAGGGGTCTAGGCAACACCAGACAACTATTCAGGCTTATCAGAGAAACAGGTGGTAAAAGGTAAATGATAAGCGAAACAATCTCCGAGAAAAATGGCACCATAATTAGCTCCCAGGAGAGACGTCTGGAGCGCTGGAAAGAACACTATGAGGAGCAGTTTAATTGGCCCACAGCCACACTTAACCTGCCGAACATCCAACACCTCCCTGAATGGGAGGTAGACACAGGTCCTCCATCCTTAACTGAGGTTACTAAAGCTGTCACTAATCTGAAGCAAGGCAAAGCGGCGGAACCTGATGGAATGACTCCAGAGGTATTTAAAAGTACGGTGGAGACAGTTTACTGTCTGCGTTAACGGAGGTTCTAGGCAGCGTCTGGGAATCAGAGGAAGTCCCATCGGGTTGGTGTAAGTCACTAATCATCCCGTTATACAAGAAGGGAGACAAGTCCTCTCGTGATAATCACAGAGGGATTAGCTTGACTAATATAGTATCTAAAGTCCTAGGCTCAATAATATTGCGTAGACTAAATGGTGCTCGGGAGGCACAAACACGAGAAAACCAGGCAGATTTTAGGCCGGGAAGAGGGTGTTTTGATCATATCTTCACCCTCCGACAGATTCTAGAACATAGGAATTCCTACCGGCGTCCAACAATCATTATATTTCTTGACCTAAAGGCAGCATTCGATTCTGTCGACCGAGAGGTACTCTGGCGATGCTTGGCTGTAAAGGGAATGCCGAGAAAATACATTGCACTGATTAAGGCACTCTCCTCGTACTCATGCAGCCAGGTGATGGCTTACGGCGAGTTGTCATCTGAAGTGGTGACGACTAGTGGCGGCCGTCCATTATCCCCATTTCTATTCAACTTCATCATAGACGTACTAATGGACTTAACCCTAACTCACTTCAGCGACTCAGGGATTGACTTGCTACCAGGGAATAATCTCGTTGACTTAGAATATGCAGACGATATAGTCCTTCTAGGCGAGGACTCTGACAAAATGCAGAGTCTACTGAACACCCTGAGCAACAATCTTCGCATGTTTGGCATGCGATTCGCCCCTATAAAGTGTAAGATGATGCTGCAGGATTGGACTTCATCGACCCCTAGATTAGAAATAGGAAGTGAAGTGGTAGAGCACGTTGACCGCTTCACTTACTTGGGAAGTACCATCAGCCCCAACGGGTTGATCTCCGACGAAATATCAGCACGAATACAGAGGGCTAGGTTCGCATATGCCAGTTTACGCCATCTCTGGCGTATATATGATATCCGACTATCAACCAAAGGGCATGTGTACTGCTCAACAGTCCGCTTCATCCTCCTTTATGACCGTGAGACCTAGCCACTGAGAGCAGAAGACATGAAAAGATTAGCTGTCTTCGATCATAGGTGTCTGCGTTCTATCTCCCGTGTGAAGTGGTATAATAAGGTGAGCAATACTGAGGTTAGGCCATCGGTCGAGTGCTAGGTAAGGAGGGGAGATCAGTCGACGAGACTGTGAAATTACATCGACTGAGATGGTTAGGACATGTGCTACGTATGCTTAGTCACTGCCTTCCTCGACAATGGGCAATGTTAGCTGATATAGGGCCAGGCTGGAAAAGAGCTAGAGGCGGTCAAACCAAAACATGGCACCAATCAATGAAATCCACAAGTTAGTTTAAGCCACGTAGGAAGGTGTGGACTTCCTGGTTGGGGTCCTCGAGATTGTAAAAACCAATGGTTGGAAACAATTGGTGACATGGCTCAAAATCGTTCTCAGTGGCGCAGATGCATCCACTCTTTGTGACTTATGATTTCCAATTAAACTGTTTTGTTCTCCGTTACTACTATACCTTTGTCTCACACCTCTGTTTACTGACTATATTATGCATTTCTTCTACTTTCTTCTCTTGCTTTGCGTGCTACATGGATTGTGGCGACTTGAACTGCCGCACATATGTGCAAAGTTCTATGTCGAAAACCGACCGACCGACCGACCGAGAGGGGTCTAGACAGTTGTTTTCTGTTGTTCTAGGACTCTTCATCAGATCGTATCCCGTTAACCGAACTCAGAATAACAGATGAGCATATATGAATCCTAACTTCTCTCAGCGTGTGATATAGCTCCAACCACATACCGATGTCACTGTTGAGAAACTGTCGTTTATACTGCTTAGCTGATCGCGCTAGTCATGACTACTCATTACAGCTCCAAATTGAGAGCTATTTTGAAGAAGATGGATATTCAAGAGTTGGGTTATTCATGGGAAAACAGCTTTCCAGTCTTCCATGGCTCGATAGCTGACATCGATCGGTGCCGAAATTTACTTTGAAACCTGTCTCTTGAAGGCATTTATTTATTCCTTTGCGTTCCTAGTGGGACATAGAGCTTGAAGTCTCAGGTTTGAAGTTCCAGTAGCTATGGTGTTGTTCTTCCAAGATAGGCGCTGTTAGCCTCACTTCCAACCTAATCTCTTCTCTGAGCTTACTACGGGTTAAGCAGTGAGGTTTAGGTTTGTGCTGACCGGGAATCGAACCTAGGAACAAGTGGGTGGTTGGCCAGCATTCTACTTGCATCCCAGGTGAGTGTTCCCATTGAGATACAAACAGAGCATCCATCTTTTCGAATCCAAAGGTTGGATTTGAATCTCTGTGGGAACACCATAATGTATTTACATCCGGATGACGAGTACCAGACAGGACGAAACACGCGATACACGACATGAAAAAATGTATCCCTTCACCTCCTGTAGGATTTTTATGGATACTTTGACTGGAAACTAGGTAGTAAGTAATGTGGTGCAACTAAC